ATGTGGGTGGTCTGAGATGTGATTTGTGGAAAAACTGGAGAATGAAATATTCAATTAATATGAATATAAAAAGTATATTGTTTTCTTATAGAGAGCGTTCATTCGTCTCCAAAGCTTTGATGGAAAGTGAAACATTACGTAACAACTATGAAGATCCCCTTTAACTCATGTGTCTCGTATTCAAAAAACAAAGAACTGAAATATCGTAACGTTTGCTTGATCAGCTTTTGTCTCATGAGACTGTTGAGAACATGAAAAAATAGAAAAAAAGTGAAAATTGATAAATGTCCATAAGATTTTGTAATGATAAAACACAATGATAAAACTTGTGTGTGTGTGTGTGTGTTAGTATTTGTGTGCATGTGTGTGTATTAGTATTTGTGTGCATGTGTGTGTATTAGTATTTGTGTGCATGTGTGTGTATTAGTATTTGTGTGCATGTGTGTGTGTATTAGTATTTGTGTGCATGTGTGTGTGTATTAGTATTTGTGTGCATGTGTGTGTGTATTAGTATTTGTGTGCATGTATTAGTATTTGTGTGCATGTGTGTGTGTATTAGTATTTGTGTGCATGTGTGTGTCTCTCTGTGTGTGTGTATGTATGTGTGTGACTCAGTGTGTGTATGTCTCAATGTATGTGTGACTCCGTGTGTGTATGTCTCAGTGTATGTGTGTGACTCAGTGTGTGTATGTCTCAGTGTATGTGTGTGACTCAGTGTGCTGCAGTGTGTGTGTGTGACTCATGTGTGTGTATGTCTCAGTGTATGTGTGTATCAGTGTGTGTATGTCTCAGTGTATGTGTGTGTATGTGTGTGACTCAGTGTGTATGTCTCAGTGTATGTGTATGTATGTCTCAGTGTATGTGTGTGACTCAGTGTGTGTATGTCTCAGTGTATGTGTGTGTCAGTGTGTGTATGTCTCAGTGTATGTGTGTGACTCAGTGTGTGTATGTCTCATGTCTCAGTGTGTGTATGTGTGTGACTGTGTGTGTGTATGTCTCAGTGTGTGTGTGTATGTGACTCAGTGTGTGTATGTCTCAATGTATGTGTGTGACTCAGTGTGTGTATGTCTCAGTGTATGTGTGTGACTCAGTGTGTGTGTCTCAGTGTATGTGTGTGACTCAGTGTGTGTATGTCTCAGTGTATGTGTGTGACTCAGTGTGTGTATGTCTCAGTGTATGTGTGTGACTCAGTGTGTGTATGTCTCAGTGTATGTGTGTGACTCAGTGTGTGTATGTCTCAGTGTATGTGTGTGACTCAGTGTGTGTATGTCTCAGTGTATGTGTGTGACTCAGTGTGTGTATGTCTCAGTGTATGTGTGTGACTCAGTGTGTGTATGTCTCAGTGTATGTGTGTGACTCAGTGTGTGTATGTCTCAGTGTATGTGTGTGACTCAGTGTGTGTATGTCTCAGTGTGTGTATGTCTCAGTGTATGTGTGTGGACTCAGTGTGTGTATGTCTCAGTGTATGAGTGTGACTCAGTGTGTGTATGTCTCAGTGTATGTGTGTGACTCAGTGTGTGTATGTCTCAGTGTGTGTATGTCTCAGTGTATGTGTGTGACTCAGTGTGTGTATGTCTCAGTGTATGTGTGTGACTCAGTGTGTGTATGTCTCAGTGTATGAGTGTGACTCAGTGTGTGTATGTCTCAGTGTATGCGTGTGACTCAGTGTGTGTATGTCTCAGTGTATGTGTGTGACTCAGTGTGTGTATGTCTCAGTGTACGTGTGTGACTCAGTGTGTGTATGTCTCAGTGTACGTATGTCTCAGTGTATGTGTGTGACTCAGTGTGTGTATGTCTCAGTGTATATGTGTGACTCAGTGTGTGTATGTCTCAGTGTATGTGTGTGACTCAGTGTGTGCATGTCTCAATGTATGTGTGTGACTCAGTGTGTGTATGTCTCAGTGTATGTGTGTGACTCAGTGTGTGTATGTCTCAGTGTATGTGTGTGACTCAGTGTGTGTATGTCTCAGTGTATGTGTGTGACTCAGTGTGTGTGTCTCAGTGTATGTATGTGTGTGTGTCTCAGTGTGTGTGTGCGTGTATGCGTGTGTACCCCAATAAAACAAGAGAAATACATGACCAACAGTGTAGCGCATTGTCAGCTAAATAACTTTCCACATCCCAGCAGCAAACAACAGACACACACTGATGATGTTACGTGGCCAAAAGAAACTTGTTTGTTTTCTTTTGTGTTGCTTCTGTTGTGTCGCTGTGCCATAACACGAGCCCGGGTCTCTTCCATCATTCATTCATGCCTTTTGGGTCTTGGCCTCTGCGCCTCCTGCCTCATCAATACCTCAGCCCCATGTCTCTGGCTCTACCTCACTGTTGGAGGCACAGCACAAAACATTAAATATTTAGAAGGGACTTGTGCAACACTTGGGCAACCCCTCCATCCTCTCCACGGGGCCTGCAGTACAGCTCTGGGTCATTTCAGGAGAGGGTGTGTTGGAGATGTAGTCATTATTAAACCAAAAGGTAACAAAGAGAAATGAAGCTCAAGCGGATGTTCAGACTGAAAGACCGAGTGCCTGCCAGCCTCGAGCCTCAGCCAATCACACAGCTCTGCCAGCCTCGAGCCTCAGCCAATCACACAGCTCTGCCAGCCTCGAGCCTCAGCCAATCACACAGCCAGGCCAGCCTCCTGCCAACCCTCTCAGAGCAAAGCGGGCAGTTTAAAAGGCAGCCTGTCCCTGCTGCCTGCTCCTGCTGCTCCTACTGATGCCTGTTCCGCTGCCGCTCCTGCTGCAGCCTGTTCCTGCTGCCTGCTCCTGCTGCTCCTACTGATGCCTGTTCCCGCTGCTGCCTGTTCCGCTGCCGCTCCTGCTGCTGCCTGCTCCTGCTGCCGCTCCTGCTGCTGCCTGCTCCTGCTGCTCCTACTACTACACGTGCCGCTGCTGCTGTTCCTGCCGCTGCCGCTCCGCGGGCTCCCAGGCTGCACCTACGGCTCGGCTCTCTCAGACAGACACGTATGTAACCTGGCTCACAGAGACAAGCGGCGCACGCTGGCGTGACATGGTCTGTTTGCCCGTATGAATCGCATTGTGGTTGCGTTGTACGTGCTTGTCCCGGGCCCGTGATTGTCCCGTGCCATCGTTTGTTTGGGGTCTGTTCCTGCTTTGACCCGCTCTGATCTGCTCGTCAGTGCTTATTGGCGCCGCTCCTTAAACACGTCCAGGCTCCGTGTCACTGCTGCTCAAGTCTCCTCCGTGAGACAGTTCACACTCCAGCGTGCTTGGTGGCATGCAAAATTACATTTTGGAGTCTTCCCTAATCAGTCTTCTTCTAAGGCCCGAATTGTTCGTATTAAGGCTTAATGTATCGGTCTCCGAGGCTTAACGACATATTGCACGTTCAGGGTGAATAGGAATCTGCAGCTCTGGCGCCTCTCTGATTTGGTTGCTCCCTAGACAAAGGCCTAATGTAATATTGCTCGCTCAGGGTGAAGAGGAATCTGCAGTTTTGACGCCTGTCTGATTTGGACGCTCCCATAAGGTGAAGAAAGTGCGTTTAGCTTCATGGCCCTGTCACGCGCATAATGGCGTATGTGAATGCATGTTGTATAGCAAAGCATGGCAAGTTTATTTGTGTAGCACAATTCATACACAAGGCAATTCAAAGTGCTGAACAAAATAAGAAAGCATTAAAATCATAGATATTCACAGAACATTAAGAAGGATAGAAATGTACGTTTTGACCTTGTCTTAAACATTGTCAGAGAGGAGGCCCGTCTCGCATCTTCAGGAAGATTGTTCCAGATTTTAGCAGTGCGAATCCGAAAGGCAGCCTACCCACGTTAGTTCTGACTCTGGACACTAACAGGAGTCCAGTCCCTGTGCTCCTCAGAGTCCGGGCTGGTTCACATGGGACTAACATGTCACTACTATATGGTGGGTGCGAGGCCACGGAGGGACTCTACTTGTATATGCGCATGCACACGTAGGTACGTAGTATACGTGCGTGCATATATATATTATGTATATGTATATGCATATGTGTTTTATAGTCTTAAGCTCACTTCGCTCAGTTCTCATCAGGGCTGTCTCTGCTCTCGTCAAACTTTCCGTAGTTTAATCGTAGTTATGATTAGATGCTTTGCAATGAATGATGTGTGTTACCTTCGCTGGTCGTCGGGCTATTCCGTTAAAAGACAACCTGTTCCAACTGAGGCCAAGGGAATCTGGGTTCGTAAATACTTATTCGGTGTCGTCCATTCTACTTCAGCGCAGCCAATATAGACGTGTCGTAACCCGTTCTGAGATGTTGTTGTTCTCGGTCGGGCTCGAATCTCCGCTAATCTGTAGCTAGCGAGACGACAGGAGGTCGTCATTCAGCCAACTTCAGCTCTTTCATAGTTCGTCCTAATGTTCGGACCAGTCCAATGCGGTTTCGCCTACGTGTCGGCCCCGGGACTAGTCTGGCGGACTGAAGTGGCCCTCGTACTGAAATCCTCGAGCCCCCTCCGCGTACAGTAAATATTGCTCATAGGGACGCGTTGCCCCTGGTCATTAGCAGTGTGTTTCATTTTATCCTGAGCAGGCTGGTGTCGATTATCAAAAGTGGTTTTATGCTTTGTTCCACCTCCGTGCGGAGTTTTGCATGTTCTCCCCTCGTCCAGCCGGTTTGCTCCGGATCCTGCACGTGCTCTGGCTTTCCCTCACTGCTACCGCGTGCAATTGATCCGCCCTGCGCCTCATACGGGCGATCTCTCTCCGATTCTCCGGAGTCGGGGGGCATCATCCACAACGGTCACATGCTCTCTGCCGCACTCTCATGGCTGAGTCATCGTAACGGTTGCTCGCTCTACTGCTCGTTCTCAGGTGCCGCTCTGTTCGTACTTATTCTGCTCCGTGGCCGCTCTTTGCCGTCGTTCTGAGTTCCCTAATTGCATCAAGATAGCTCTCTCCTGTCCAGAAGGAGTTTCGGTCGGTTCTTGTTTAATCTCTCCCTTATGTTGCAGGGCGCTCTTGCTGTACGGCCCTGTCATTCCCGCGCGGGGCATGCCCTTCCTACGCGGGGCTCGTCCATCTCAAGCCGGGCAGGCGTCTGGCCGTCACACTGGCCACCCGGCACACGTGATGACCCTCATCGAAGGTTTCGTAAATGCTCCCTCGGCTTGGACATGGAGAGAGAGAGGATAGGAGGAGGAGGACCAAGGTCTCTTGGTCCGTCCTGTCCTCTGTCACGTCCCAAACAGGTGCTGCTCTTCCGGCTGGGCCGCCTCATCCTCGCAGTGCACGTCATTCCTCAGGCCGTGGTTCATCCCCAGGCTCCTGCGCGCTCTGCAACCCTGTTTTCCTGTTCGCAGGTGCTGCGCTGACCTGCGCTGACCTCCATGCAATGCAGCCTCCACGCAATGCAGCCTCCACGCAATGCAGCCTCCACGCAATGCAGCCTCCACGCAATGCAGCCTCCACGCAATGCAGCCTCCACGCAATGCAGCCTCCACGCAATGCAGCCTCCACGCAATGCAGCCTCCACGCCTCCAGATAGGCAGCTTCCCACGGGAGGCCTGCGCATTCCCTGGCACACATAGCGTGGCTTCCTCTTTTGGGGGATCTGAGATCATCTCAGCTGCAATCGATCTCATAGCTGCAAGTGTCACTGCCGGGGTCAATGCGCCAAACAAATAAATCATTTTAATGTTTTTATCGTGTCTTTGGTCTCTTCAGATTGAAATGAAGCTCACGTGGATGTTCAGACTGAAAGACCGAGTGCCTGCCAGCCTCGAGCCTCAGCCAATCACACAGCTCTGCCAGCAGGCCCGTCCCAAGGGGGGTGCGAGGCCCTGTGCGAACCCGAAACGCGAGGCCCTGCCCTGACACTTTTTTCCCAGATCTGAGGAAAGTTTTTCCTGTTATAATCTTTGACATGAATTCAGCACCACCTCGCGCGGTGCTTGACGAGATCAGCACGCGTGTAACCGAGTGTCTTCGCTCCTATGCAGCGTTTGGCGCGCGCACGTACACACGCACACACACTCTACGTGCAATATTGGTCGCGGTCTTTTTAGCTGACATGTCTCTTTCGTCCTGTGGCAAAATGGTAGAGCAACTCAAAAGATTGAACCAAAAGGAGTCTTTTTCTTCTAATAGTTAGATTTTGGCAAAATGCGCCAAAATGGCTATGAGGCGGAGTCAATATTATTTTTTTTCATCAAATAACGTTTTTGCCATGCCTCCACCATGGACGTCGGAACTATTTTCTGAGAGGGGGGGCGGGTTTTTGTTGGGAGAGTCGAGGGAGAGACTCATACTTGGATTACACTGGATAATAACATACCATCTTAATTGTTAAGAAAAATAAACAATATATATCAAGCAAGTCACTTATCAAACTGAACTTTTTTTTTTTCAATACGCATTCATGCGTCAGTCTCTCCGGTGGCTTCATTGTGTTGTGTAGCCCAGTGACGTGCGGTCAGATGAGGCAGGTAAGGCCTTCACCTAAGATCATAGAAAGAAAAGTAATATAATGGATACAATAATGTTTGGTCACTTTATCAAGTGATTTGTGCTGTGCCTTATTTAATTTATTTATACCTTGAAATCGCAGATTTGACAGAGCGGCGCTGTGAGGCAAGCCTCTCTTGGGAGACGTAAAAAGCAACAGCTCACAGGGAGAGTCCTGTGAGGTGCTATCAAACTGTTTTCTCTGTTTATCACAGTTTAAAAAGTTCAAAAATATTTAATTTACAATCAACATGTTTACATTTAAGAGGATGGCTCATAAATTGTGTTTTTGAAGCAAATATGGGTCTTAATCGCGCTCAACCACAGCTTGTAAGTGAGGAAAGCCTCAAGGGGGCGCTTGTGAGCCCAAACTTTGGCTGCATCCAATTCCATCAGAAAGCTCCTTTCTTGTTCTTCTTCTGCTAAGGGCAGCTACAGGTTTGGCTAACATACCTATAATACATTTTAAGATAATTTAAAATGCACTTAGAGTAATGTTTTGCTTCCAATGATGATATGAATCATAAGAAAAAGAGGTGAAGGGTAAGGTTGAATTTAGAAATTGGATTTACCCGGGAGTCGGCTGCAGCAAAACTCGCAGTTTACGGAGGAGACACCCGTTTTTTTTTACTTTTTAAAACTCATTGAACTTATTTCCAAATGGAGGATTACATGTCTGTGCTCAAACTATTATCTGGACTTAAACATGAAACTGGTCCTAACTGAAGTGGTCTGTGCTGTTCATTAACACCTAAGGTATAAGGCCCATAACACACTTTGTACTTTTTACAAACGTTTGCGTTTTGTATGAGAAAACTATGCAGACATTAAATCATATTCTGCTGTAGCCAAACAAATTGTGTATAAGCCGCTCCTGTTCCTGTAGGTCCTGTTGGTTTATATGATGTATAATCATATGAACAAATGATTGATCCCCCACCGCACGTCACTGGTGTAGCCAGGTCTTTAATCTGCGCAAGGCTGAGAAAGAGCGCTCAGAGGCTGCGACAGATATTAGCCAGACAGAGCTTCATAAGCACCTCCGACAGCATGGAGCGGGTTTTGGGCTGCAAGGAACGCAGGATAGTGATAACTTCTCGCTCCCGGCACACGCGGAGGGGGTGCGGCCGCACCCCCCGCACCCCTAGTTCCGACGTCTATGGCCTCCACACACTCTGACAACATACGCTCCTCCTCCTCCACACTGACAACAACAAAATACTCTTCACCTCCTCCTCCACACACTCTGACCACAACAAAAACACACTCCAGCTAGCTAAAGCTAGACATACAGTGTGTTTGCTAATGCTTTTAAAAATATGTTTTTGATGTGGATATTCGGACTAAACATTGGCAATAGCAGCGCTCACACACCTGTCACACCGCTGATCCTCCTCCTCCTCCTCTGCTCACACAAAGGGGTCTGCTCCTCTGCTCACACCTGTCTCGCTGCTCCTCCTCCGCGAGTATCCATCTCTCCTACACTGCGATCATTCCCGTTACTTTCTTTGTATCTCACTCAGACACTGCTAAAGTTATCCGACAGTTTTTTCGGAGGACCCGTTGCATACATAGCTGCCCGCGCGCCTGCCTGTTTACAAATCGCTTTTGGTGAAAATTTGACTTTACTTGTAAAAATGTTCTTTTGATCAAACGAAATCAAAGAGGTCCAGAGAAAGGGGTTTAGGGTTCCAAATTTGGAGTGCAGTCTGCCCTTTGGGGACCCTTGAACTAGTGTATTTATAAAATAAAATAAAAGGAAGGAAGATTGCGAGGCCCCTGTGTGGTGCGAGGCCCTGTGCGACGGCACAGGTCGCACAGCCCTTAGGACGGGCCTGTCTGCCAGCCTCGAGCCTCAGCCAATCACACAGCCAGGCCAGCCTCCTGCCAACCCTCTCAGAGCAAAGCGGGCAGTTTAAAAGGCAGCCACTTCCTGACAAACAACGCTTCCTGAGGCTCTTAAACACCCACCACCTCCCCAGCACCCCCTCTGGCTCTTGGCTCCCGCTCTGGCTCCCGCTCTGGCTCCCGCTCTGGCTCCTGCTCCGCCTACGCCCCATTCACACCATACTCTAGCCACCACCAGTGATTGACCCCGGGGGATCTGAGATCATCTCAGCTGCAATCGATCTCATAGCTGCAAGTGTCACTGCCGGGGTCAATGCGCCAAACAAATAAATCATTTTAATGTATTTATCGTGTCTTTGGTCTCTTCAGATTGAACAACCATTTACTAGACATTCATCCAATTTCAGCTTGGTCGTTGGATCAGCGATCACTTCATGTATTCCCCGACTTCTCTTACCCCAGAAACTTCCGCTATTTGTTATTTGACTCCACAAAACCTGCCACATACAGGCACTTTTCAAATGTTCATATAATAGTTTAGCTCTAGTCCCTGCAGATATATAAATAAACTTTTTGAGTGCCTTTTGTCCGGTGCATCTTGGTGGAAATGTGCCCTTTTCAGCCTGCATGATTTTATGTTGACAAGAAACAACATAAAAACATTCAATGTATTTTTGTATAGCTCTAAATCACAACAGTAGTTATCTCAGGACTTTACAAAGTTGTCAATTCGGCAACACAGATCAGAGAATCAAAACAAACACTGGAAATGCTATAATGAAAAAACACAGAGGTATTGGTCCATAAGCGGCAAATGACCAATGTCCATTAATGTTAACAGATGATCATAGATGTCGTTGAATGTCCTGGATCAAAACGACTGTCTTTAGACCTAGACCCTCCTGCATCGGCAAGGAACAACTAAAACATGTATATATACTGTATGGGGAATACTGTGGGGAATAAAAAGCAAAAAGACATGCAAACTTGTACCCTGTCATACTGAGGACCAAATACAGTAGCTTTGGGCGAATTCACACGGTCTTTTTCTGCTCGAAGTGCCTTAGTGCAGACTTGTTTTTGTTCCGGTTTTAGTCCCAATGTAGTTATTGTGTAAGTGCAGACTTTACAAACACATTCACATCACTGTTTCAGAAAAAAATATGTGTTTTGATCTGCATTCGATTTGATAGGTTACGATCTCGACCCATTCAACTTTTTCCAGATTGTTTTAATAATTTTTTTTCTTACAAAGTTCCACTGTGTGGATGGCACTCAGCAAGAAGACCCTGGGTTCAAATCCCAGTCGGAACAGGGTATTTTTGAGTTTGTACGTTCTCCCTGTGTTTGCGCAGGTTTCCCCTCATCAAATAAAATCACTAACCTTAAAATCGCTCCCACTTCTCAGCAAGGAGGTCTTAGGTTCAAATCCAAATCGGAATGGGATGTTGTCATGAGGCTCCACGTGCACTTTGAGTATCACTTTAGACTTGTTTCTTTATTTATCTAGATTTTTGATCCGAAACAGGGCCTTTCGGAATGGTGTTTGCATGTTCTGCATAGGTTTCCTCCGGGTGCTCCGGTTTCCACTACCACTGGAGATGGGTTCCCAGGCAAAAATAATAAAGTGCACATGTACATTTACATTCACTGTGCTCCATAATAACACATTATCATGCAGATTGGGAGAAGGCAAGTGATGCTTTGCACACATAACTCAACGTTAACCCACTCTCAGACCGCTCAGAACCGGATCTGAACCCAGCACCGAGATGGGAAACGGGTCTGGCACATTAATGACATCAGGTGGAGAGATACCGCTTTAGTGGCTGGTTTGTGCGATGATGTGTTTACATCTCTGCTTAAAAAGGCAGAGGAAGTCGTGTGGTGTGTTCAGAGGAAGCTCAGGAAACGTGTGGTGTCGGCCCCGAGGTGGAAGTCCAAATTAGGGTTTTCACTCCGTCGCTTGGTTAAATCTTTCCCTCGCAGACAAAACACAAACAAATGTGAGTTGGTCTATTGACTGTTGCTTATAGTCAGAGAGAATGTGTCTTTCGTATGAACTCTCTTCCTGCATACGTCATGAGCAGTTGAACCGGAGTGATGCGATTGACATTTCTACATTATTGCAGTGAAATTTTGAATTTGAATTTGATAACTATAAAACAAGAATAAAGTAAATTCTATTATGGG